CTCTAACAGTCTTCTGTAGGACAGCTTCAGGTAATACAGTAAGTAAGAGCTGTAAAATTTTAATGATTTGTCCTATCAAGCAGTTTTCTTTCTGGTTGTTAGGAACTTGGACTTTCTTAAACCATGGAAAACTAGACAGAGTGTAAGTTTCATGCACTGTAAAGGTAGGTCCTCTACCTCTGTTAGAAATGATAATAATCGTAAATTTCCGCCCCAGGGGCTTCCCCTTGTGTAAAATTATAAATCACTTGGAGGTGTTGGGAAATTATGTTTAATTGGAAAACTCTGGACATTGCCACACATCCTTCATAGCAGTAAATCACACACACACACACACACACACACACACACACACACACACACAACATAAAATATGCTGAGGAAAGATTCAAAATAATCTATACTGAGTGTACACATAGAGATTGGCAAATGGGTCTTCTGCAGGGAGGAGATCCTTAGTTATTTCACTCAGGTCTGATTCGGGAGCATCCCAGATGCCACTTGTTTTTATCATGGAAGCCCACTTATTATGCTTTTGAAGTAAGATTGTCCACGGCAGCTGGATTGCACATGAGAAATGTTGCAGGGAGAGATGGGGTTGTGCTGCTGTCCCCAGATGGTATTCAGAATGTTCTCTGAGCAGATGTGATGTTTGTAAGTTGTACACATTGTATACATTTTTAATACATTTTATATAGAGTTTATACATGGATTTAATAAAAGTCTTAAAAATTTTTAAAGTTTTAGGAAGAGGGTGGCTCAGTCGGGTAATCAACTGCCTTCAGCTCAGGTCATGATCCCAAAGTCCTGGGATAGAGCCCTGCATCAGGCTCCCTGCTCAGCAAGGAGCCTGCTTCTCCCTCTTCCCCTTCCCCCTGCTCATGCTCTCTCTCTCTCACGTATTTTCTCTGTCTCAAATACATAAATAAAATCCTTAAAAACATAAAAGTTTTAGGAAGAGATTGCCGACGTTTCTCCTATGAGTGGTAACCTGCCTAGCCGACCAGTCTACAAAGATTAATTTGACAGGGGAGCCTGGCTGGCTCAGTGGGAGAGCATGCAACTCTTGATCTTAGGGTTGTGAGTTCAAACCCCATGTTGGGTATGAAATTCCTTAAGAATAAAATCCTAAAAAAATAAATAAAATTGACCAATAATTTGTAAAAGTAGAAAGTAATGTTATTAAATTATTGTCTTACTAAAATGTGGCGGAAAACATACATTTAAGTGTGCCAAATTTTTGTTAGGTAGAAGGCATTGTCTGACCTGGTGGAAGGTTCTGACCATTTGACAAAGGTGGAAATTTGCTTTAGGACCCAGATAACGCCTAATTTCTCAAATCTGTGGTTACTGCCCCCATATTCACCACAACATACAGATGATATGCTCACATACATGGCGGCCTCAACAGACTACAGGCTATGTGTTCTTCCTGATCGCTGGACCATATTGAACTCCCTTTCTCCCCACCTAGAAAGCATGTCCAAATACTAATAATCGAGAGTGATATTTCAATGGGAATAACCTTGAATATGATTTCTCTTATGGTTACAAGGAAGTCTTTTTTTTTTTTTAGTTTAACCTTTATAGTCAATGCAGAAGATCTTGGGCTATATTCTGGAGATTTGCAAATTCGCTACACCCAGGTTAATTCTTGGCCTCTGAATTAACATACCTATTTTGGAAGTGATCAAGGGTAGCTTACCAGGAAACCAGCTGGGAGAGAATGGGAGAGAAGGAAAGGAGAGATGGGAGAACAAAGGGGAATGTCTGCTATAGTGGAAATGTCAGCTTTATCCATTTTCACACACAGTGTAGATATTTTGTGACCATGTGAGCCCATTTACAACCCCGCTGTTGTTTAATTCTGCAGTTCTGTTTGTTGCTCTTACTTGCATCATGAATCCTACATGACAGTGGTATCATTTTTGCTTTAAAATAGTTAAGTGTGAAAAAAAAAATAAAATAAGCATGAAAAAAATAGTCTTTTATACGTACCCACACACTTACCAAGCATAAAGCATCTCATTCCTTTTTAAAAATCCAAGTTTCCCGCTGGTACCTGGTCTTTCATTCTGAAGGGCTCCCTTTAGCGTTTCTTGTCGCCCAGCCCTGCTGGTGATGAATGCTTGGTTTTCTTTAATCTGAAATGTCTTCATTTCATCTTCATTCTTGAAGGGTATTTTCACCGGATATAGGATTCCAGATCGGCAGGCTAGTTTGTTTTCTCAGCACTTAAAAGGTGACCTCCCACTGTTTCTGGTTACCATCAGTTTTGATGAGCACATGGCGCACGCTTCGATGCTGTGCACTTTCTCTCCGCCTGCTTTCAAGGTTTTCTCTTTACTTTTCAGCAGGAGGACTATGATGTCTCTAGACATTTTGTGTGTGTGTGTGTGTGTGTGTGTGTGTGCATGTGTGTGTATGTATTTAACCTGTTTCAGGTTTGCTAAACATTTTTAGTCTAAAATTATGTTTTTCATGAAATTTGGAATATTTCCTCTTTTTTTTAAATTTTATTCATTTCAGAGAGACAGCACAAGCATGAGCCGGGGGGTCGGGGGAGGGGGGTGGGGGCCTGGGCAGAGGGAGAACTGGGCTCTCTGCACTCAGTCCTAGGACCCTGGGATCATGACATGAGCCAAAAGCAGACGCTTAACTGACTGAGCCACCCAGGCAGGCGATCAAGTTGGGATGTTTCAACCACTTTTCAGATTTGTTTTTGGCTCCATTTTCTCTCTCCTCACCTTCTGGAACTCCAAATACCATACACTGTAGCTTTTCAAACTATCTTAGGGACTGAGGCATGGTGCATTTTTGAACCATTTTTTTCTCTTTAAACTGAGCAATTCCTGGAACGCCTGGGTGGCTCAGTTGGTTAAGCATCTGTCTTCAGCTCAGGCCGTGATCCCAGGGTCCCAGGATCAAGTCCCACATCGAGCTCCCTGCTCAGTGGGGAGCCTGCTTCTCCCTCAGTCTCTGCCTGCTGCTCCCTCTGCTATGCTCTCTGTCTTTCTCCCTCTCTGTCAAATAAATAAATAAAATCTTTAGAAATGAAAATTTTAAAAAATTTTCTTAAAAATTGGATAATTCTTAAGCCTGTATCTTCAAATTCACTGGTTCTTTCCCACTTCCTAGCATCTTTCAGTTGTTAAACTCATCCAGCAAGATGGTTTTTTTTTAAATTTAATATATTTGCCAGCTCTTATATTTTCTTCTTTTCATAGTTTGTATTTCTCTTAGATTTCCTGCCTTTTCATTTATTACAAGGGTATTTTCCCTTATAACATCAAACATCATTGTAACAGCTGCTTTAACGTTGTGTCTGATAAGTCCAACATCTGGAATTGGAGTTGGCATCCTTGGTTGTCTTTCCCTTGAGAATGGGTCACATTTGTCCAAGTGATGTGGAGACCCAAGGTCCTGTTCTGTTCACCCAAGAAGTGTTGGTCTTTTCCTTTCAGCAGGCAAGTAGCTCGGTGGGATGTAATGTGAAGACTGCCTTACAGTCGGTGGCAGCCCAAGCCTTCAACCAGTCTGCATTGTACTTAACGGGGCTGTTTTGAGGCTGCTCCTCGCACCTGGGTCAGGGCTTACGAGAGCTTGGGCAGAATTTATACACAGAATTTAAGCCTCCCCTTCTCCAGCACTCGCCTTTCCAGGGTTTCCCTCAATGTTTCACACCTCGCGTTGCCTAAGCTTTGTCCTCCATTTGATCAAGCCAAAACACACGACAGGTTCCCTGTGTTTGAGCTTTCCACACCACACAGCAACTCTGATAGGCACTGTGATAGACAAAAGCACGAAACTTAGCCTGGGTTGGTCCCTTGTTCAGAATTTCAGCTCTCCTCTTAAATCCTGCCTGCCTCTCTTTACTCACCAGAACCTACCAGTGGTGGGCTTCTTCTGTTTTGTCCAGAGTTTAGAGTTACTGCCTATAGGGGGTTGGTCTGTTAGGAGCATACAACTCCATACCAGAGACATAATCTTTCCAGTGGAGACCTAGATTTTGAACTAATGGCACCATTTCTCTAACTCAAGCAGAGATACAAGTCTTGGAAGTTTTTGTTAGAATTGCCTGTTTTGGGGGGCACCTGGGTGACTCAATCGGTTAAGCGTCCAACTTTCGATTTTGGCTCAGATCATGTGCTCAGGTCGTGAGCTCAAGCCCCGTGTTGGGCTCCAACTGAGTCTGCTTGAGATTCTCTCTCCCTCTGCCCCATTCCCAAGTGCTCACTCTCAAAATGAATGAATGAATGACTGCCTGTTTGCTGTTTTTTTTTTTTTAATTCAAATAATTTAGATACCCCTTCAGTATCTTAAGGGGTACGGGTATAAAGCAAGCACCCAGATGAGAGTCAGAATGCATTGGCTCAAGCCTCAGTCTTTTTTTTTTTTTTTTTTTTTTTTTGGACAGAGAGAGACACAGCAAGAGGGAATACAAGCAGGGGGAGTGGGAGAAGGAGAAACAGGCTGATCCAGGGCTCAATCCCAGGACCCTGGGATCATGACCTGAGCCAAAGGCAGACATTCAAGGACCATGCAACCCAGGTGCCCCCTCAGTCTTTATTATTATTTTAACTAGCCATCATTGTGTTATGATTATCTAGTTATTATTAGCTAATTGTTATAATTAGCAAGTAATGTGAACTCCTGGCTTGTAGGCTGAGGGGCCTGGCCAGCCTCCAATTTCCTTTGTGTCCTGGAGGCCTCTGATCATCTGATCTAAGTGTCTTGAAGTCTCTGTGTTAATCCACTTCATAGGATTCAAGTGACTAATTTCATATATTACGTGGTGAAAGGGGCATCCTGCTGTTGGAAGATATGGCCATGTGCTACTGATAATATTTCCGCTTTTATCTCTGCTTCCCTTAAAACTACACAACCCCTTCTTCCCCTTACGCCTCACTTTTTCTCGGGCACAAGTCATTCAATAACTGAAAAGAATTATACCGTTAATGTAACATCCCATTTAAAATATGTTTTTGTTTGTCCCTTAGGAAAAAATGCTGCAAAGGGTATAAATTTGTTCTTGGACAATGCATTCCAGAAGGTATGTAATATAAAAGATTTTGTCTTCTCACCTTGTTTGGGACTAGTCATTAGATGTCTATAAAGTTCAGATGTACGGAGGATGTATGTGGTTTATCTATGTGTAATTTCGGTTTTTCAGGCATTAAATTCTCCTAGTACCAGTTTAGCTACATGTAGCATGCTCTAGCTAAATAGTCACACAACTTATACACATATGTTGAGCATCCTCGATATATACAAACAATACACATGTGGTTCAGGTTTTAAGTTGCAGAGGCTCTATTTCCCTCATCAGCATTTCATACACAATTAGGACAGAAGCATCCTCCCACTTCCCTCTGTGCTTTTCATATGCTAAACTCAAAGCCCCTTCAAGCCCTGTGCCTAGCCCAGCTCTAGCGAGACAGAGCAGGGTCAGACCTGGGCCCAGACCTCAAAGCCCACACCCACAAGCTGGGGAGACAGGGTATAGACAGCATGGAATCAGAGAGACCTGAATTTCTTTTAAAGACTTTATTATTATTTATTTGTCAGAGAGAAAGGGGAGGCACAAGCAGGGGGAGCAGCAGGCTGCGGGAGAAGCAGACTCCCCACTGAGCAGGGAGCCCAATGTGGGGCTCTATCCCAGGACCCTGGGATTGTGACCTGAGCCGAAGGCAGACACTTAACCCAGTGAGCTCCCCAGGCGTCCCAAGAGACCTGAATTTTAATTGCACTTTCCATATTGCCTCAGTCCATTCTGTCTGCTCTAACAGAAATACTATAATCTGGTGGCTTCAACCACAGATGTTTATTTCTTTTATAGTTCTGGAGGCGAAGTCTAAGACCAAGACCCTGGAAAGCTCCATGTCTGGTGTGAGCTTCCTGATTCATACTTAGCCACCTTCTTGCTGAGTCCTTGTGTGGCTAAAGGGGTGGGGGAGCTCTCTGGGGTTTCTTTATAAAAGCACCAAGCCCCTTCATGAGGCCTCTACCTCATGATCTAAGTCCCTCCCAAAGGCCCCGCTGCCTCAGACCATCACCTTGGAGGTTAGGATTGCAACATGTGAATATCAGGAGACACAAGGATTCCGTTCATAACATACATCCAGCTTCGTTTTTGTGGGAAAATATTAGTACTTGACTCATGGTTGTTTTAAGAATCTTCCCACATGTAAGGTACTTGGAACGGAAGCCGGCTCTTATTAAGCATTTGATGAATGGTGGTTCCTGCTGTTGTTTTTAATAATAACCACGACCTGTGTGGTGAAGGCATTCAGAGCAGCAAGTGTCTGGAGCAGGCGCGGAGCCCAGAGGATCCAGGGCCGTCCGAGGGGGTCTCAGGAAGGAGGGGGAGCCGGCCAATCAAGGAAGGCTGCCCAGGACCTGGACAAGTGGGAGGAGGAACGCTGCAAAAGATCCCAGCGCTGATCCAGAGAACCCTAAGAACTGTGTGGAAAGCGTGAGATTAGTTTGCCTGAGGCCGGGCAGAGGCGGGTGGGTATTGAGAAACGGGTCTCTTCACTCTCCCGCGAGAAGCTAGGGCTCCGCGGAGGACCAGGAGCCCAGCCAAGCCAGTTCCCGTTCCATTCTCTTACAGAGAGCACTTTCTTGTCTCGGTGAGAAATAAATGAATTCCCGCCCCCGCCGCCGTGTACTGCTCTCTTCGGGTACAAGAGCTCACTGAACCATAGCTGGGACTTTTGAGAAAGCTACTTTAGGAAGGTTGGTTAGGAAATCACTTTCCATAAGATGGGTTTATGTGGCCTCGGGGCTCTCTGCGACTGAATTTCTCACTGCCGGCCAGTTCTTTTGGTTAGAGCATGGGGGGGAAAAGGGAAAAAAAAAATCCACAAAATGCACAAAAATGCAAAATAATTGCACTCTTTTATAAGCCAGCTTTTCTCAGTCTGCAGCTGTGTCCTTTATATTTCCATTGGCAGATACTAAGAAAACGAAGTTTAGGCCAGTCTATTTAAGATCCCAGCTAAAGACATCACCCAGCCTAAGTAAAAACACATTACACGGGTACCACCTACTTAGGGTTTCTTTTTTTTTTTTTTGATGTTTTTAAGATTTTATTTATTTGACAGACAGAGAGATCACAAGTAGGCAGAAAGGCAGGCAGAGAGAGAGGGGGAAGCAGGCTCCCCGCTGAGCAGAGAGCCCGATGCGGGGCTCCATCCCAGGACCCTAGGATCATGACCCGAGGCGAAGGCAGAGGCTTTAACCCACTGAGCCACCTAGGCGCCCCTATACTTAGGGTTTCTTGAAATGTTAAGTGTTGTGGCCTCAAACATCAGAGCCTAAAAGTAGTCTCCCCTCCCCCTCAGCAGGGCCTGTGGTGCCCGTGAACAGCATAGCCTTGCCATAGCTAACACTCTTACTCGCCTCTGTTGCCGTCACTAGAACACTTCAGCGTTTTCATCTGTGGGAATAAGTCTGTGTGTGTGGGCTTCTTACCGACCATCTCTGTAGTCCTAAAGATTTCCACTAGGAAGAACGCCACGTACCGATGTGGAACTTCAGGAAAGATAGCATATCCGTTAGGAATGTCCAGAGAAACAGAGAGAAGCTTATTTAAAGGAATTAGTTAACGAGATCGTGGAGGCGAGCAACTCAGGAGTCCATAGGACGGGCTGGAGACCCAGAAGAAAGTTCCAGTTGGAGTCGAAAGGCCGTCTGCCTCCAAAATTCCCTCTCCCCTGGGGGAAGTGGGGTTTTTTTCTAGGAAGGCCTTCTCCTGATCCAATGGGCCCACCACCATTTTGGAGGGTAAACTGATTGTTTCAGACTCAACTGAATTAAATGTGGATCCCATCTAACAAATATCCCCACAGAAACACGTAGACGATGGTTGACCCAACGTCTGGCTACTGTGGCTGTTGTCTGTAGCCACATTGACTCGGAAAATTAACCCCTGCGGAGAGCGCGGAGGCTGGAATTTCTGAACAAGTGTGCTGAGGAGAACGGGGCAGTTTAAGACTGTTGTTGCCTCACATGTGTGTCTCCAAGTCAAAAGTCAGCCGCCCTGGGCCAGATCGGACCCACTGGCTATTTTTGTAAATAAAGTTTTATTGAAACACAACCATACTCCTGCACCTAAGTATTATCCATGGCTGCGTTTGCCCTGCCACCGCAGAGTGGAGGAGTGGTTGCCAGCCAGATCTGTTCTGCCAAGCCCCGCTGTATTATTTTGTTTTGCCAGGTGATAGGATAATCTGATTTGTTCTAGCTCAACAGTTATTAATGGAGCATAAACTGGGGGAAGAGAGTAGTGCCCATCCCTCCAGGGGACACAGTCCTTGCCAGATACCCAGACAACAGTAAGAGCTACTCATAAAGGAAGCAGAGGACCAGGTTGAGCTTTTACTGTGTGGCGGGCACCGTGCAGAAGGCATCATCCCAGGTAACCTTCATAAAAGCACCATAAAGGCTGTATTACTGCCACCCTGGGATATAGGTGAGAGGATGAGGCTGAAAGGACTCAAGGTCACAAAGAGAGTAGCAGGGTCGGGAGGGCTGGCTGCAGAACCCATACTCCTCCCCATAAAGCGGCATGCCTCCTAGCCTGCAACAGAGTAGGCCTTCCAGAAATAAGGCAGAACATAGGAGCAAGAGAAAAATACAGAGCACAATACATGGGCTGCTTAGGGGCCCCTGGGTGGCTCAGTCAGCTAAGCACCTGCCTTTGGCTCAGATCATGATCTCAGGGTCCTGGGATCACGCCCTGCTCAGCAGGGAGTCTGCATCTCCACCCCACCCTCCCTCTCTGGTCTCCCTGTCTCAAATAAATTTTTTTAAATCTTTTAAAAATAAAAAAAAAGAAAAAAAACCATTGGCTCCTTAGAGGTGATAGTTAGTGGAAGAAGCGGTGTTTGACTGGCAGGAAAGCAGACGTGCCATCATCACAGTTTCGGGGGAAAGGATTTAGCCGGGGCAGCCTTCCAGGTCCTCATGAGAGCGGCACGATGCCTGCCACAGGGACCCCGTCGGCGGGGAGGCTGGCCAACCCACCCGTTCCACCTTCCCGTGTGGCGGAGCAGACCAGGCCTAGCCCGCGCCCGAGGATCGTTCATCTGTCAGCACCCGGGGAAGTCAGCGCGGGGACTGAGATGCTGGCTCTAGTCCGGAGGCCAAGGCAGCGCAGCCTGAGCTCCTGACTTCCAGCCAAAGTCCCTTCAGAGGCTTGTTAAATATCCGTTTGTAAGGACTGGGAGGAGGAGATATTTTAATTCTCTTCAAGTCGGAGGCCATCCAGAGATCTCCAGCTGTTTCCAGCCCCTCCTCAGCATGCAGGGTCCACACACACACACACTCACAGAGACACACACAGGCACTAGCCCCGCATCACTCACACCAGCCCTGTTCCAGAACCTCCCTCCCGCCCCTCCTCGCCTACGTGACCTCCACTCCTCGAGCTCTCGGACGGTGCCTACGCCCCTCACCAGGGCCCGCTGTTCTCTGATGTGCATCTGGAAAAAGTTCCCTGTCTTACGGCAGCTGCTGAAAAAGCCCTGACAGGCCTGCAGGTGCTGCTGCAGGACCAGGGGCCATCCAGACGAGCGGCGGACCCCAGGGGATGAGGAGATGGCCCGGGGGAAAATCACAGGGAAGGGGTTTTGCCTTCCACCACAGCCAGCCTGAGCACCAAGCTCCCAGACGCAGTACTTTTAAAAGGCAGCCCGTGGCCCGAAGGCTTAACGCCCTTGTAAACATAGCTGGGCACGTCCACAGGCCCCAAGGGGAGTGCAGCCCAGGAGGTCTGTGCCAGACCCAGGCCCAGCGCCGCCGCCCCGTCTGCAGAACGACCGTGGCTGACGTGAGCCCACCCTTACCCTTGTCTTTTTCAGATTACGACGTGTGCGCTGAGGCCCCCTGTGAGCAGCAGTGCACGGACAACTTCGGCCGAGTGCTGTGCACCTGCTACCCGGGGTTCCGGTACGACCGGGAGAGACACCGGAGGCGCGAGAAGCCCTACTGCCTGGGTGTGTTGGCAGCACCTGTGAATGTTCCAGCCCCTGGGCTGGTGATTCAGTCGTTTCCTGGAGACACTCCATCCCTGGGGCCAGCTCCCCGGGCGGCTCTGATCTTTGTTTCTTCCCTTATGTCCCGACACTCAGTATCATGCCAGCCGTCACTGCCTTGATCGAACCAGCCTCGGCCGAGGAATTCTTCCGGGAGCTGGTACCTGCGAGATCCCAACAGGCAGTGAGCTCGGAGGGCGGGAGAAGGGGAGCATTAGCAAGTGAAAGCAAGAACAGTGTCAAACGGGATATAAGTGGGCAGAAACATCAAAACACAGGCGAGACCCCACATTCTCTCGGAAGGCCAGGCAGAGAGGCTGGGGACGAGGAAGGGCCCATGTGGCAGGCAGACTGGTGGGGAGTCAGCCACCTGGACAGCAGCTGAGCGGGCTCAGCACTGTCGGTCACCACCAGCCGGGTCCTGCCCGCACTGGCGGGGCTGTCCAGGCATGCCTTCTTCGCCTGGAAGACGGGGTGATGGTGATGGTCCCCTGGAGCCACGTTTCCATGTGTGGTCGGTCCATGGCTAACCTGCCTCAGAAACATCTGGGGTCCTTGATTTCCAACAAGATTCCCGGCCTCGCCTCCAGGGCCTGAGGGTAGGTCCAGAAATCTGCACTTACACAAGCATCTCTGGTGACGGCGTGCACAGGCGAGCTGGAGATTGAGCTGGACGGTAGCTGAGGAGCAGGCAGGGGGTCTGGGTGGAGACTAAGCGAGCTGGGATGAGGCTTTAGAGCGCCCCACTGGAGACGTTCTAGATGTGGGTCTCCTAGGTCTCCAGGTGGCACCGATGGTAGCTCCCTGCACTGACAAAGAGGGGTGAGACCACCAAGTGGCTGGACCTGGGACCTGTGGCGCCTCCCACAGGGAGCATGGTGCCCCACGCTGTCTCGCTGAGGTCCCAGGCGTGGGGGCTCTGCTTTCAGTTTGTGGGAGCTCTGGTGTCACACTTAGTCCACAGGTGACAGTGCATACTGCCAGGGGACCTTCCAAAGGACCACACCCCCTGGCGTGCCGAGGTAGGTCCCAGGCAGCTCGTCCAGAGAGGGGTGGGGCGTCATCCACATCCTGAAGTGCAGGGCTGAGCTCTGTCTGCCCCCCTCCCCAACATGCACACAGGACTGAGTGTCATGTCCGTCCCCCTCAGCCCCAACCTCTGATGTCTTCAACCAGGGAGCAGGAAACAGACCGGGGCCTCCCTCTCTTCCCCCGCTGGGAAACAGTTCCCCGTTCCGCGGGGGAGCAAGTCTGTGATGTGCACGGTTTATGTGGACTCTGACGGGTGACTTGTTTGATGGTCTCATGGCTCGTTTCCACCACTCACGGGCGGTCCGTCTGGGTCATTGATGACCCCAAAATTTCCTGGGGAAAACTCTCCATTAGATCCATTGTGACTATTTTCTTTTGCCAGAAGTGGCTTTTCTCAGATTTTGTTACATTTCTTAACTGGGGAGGAGCCATTCATAACTGACCTTGGGTCACTATCCAGCTGCTCTGAACCTAGAGCCATAAAGGTGGGGTGGGGGTGGAGGAGACCAACAACAACAAAAAAAAAACCTTAGCCCACTCGGGTCCTTGCAGAAAATCATGGCCCCGATGCTTGCTTTTCAAACAGTGTTGCTCTCTGTCCACTCATTTCCTCTTTTGAGGATCCCAGCCAAGTATTTCAGGCTGGCATCATGGTCATGTTTTGTAGATGGGAACTTCGAGGGCTGGCAACACTCGCACCAGGCCACGTGACATGGCAGTGGCAGATCCCCGACCGGAAAGCCTGTCACTGATCAGCCTGGCACCATGGTGACACGGCCCGGGGCACTCCAGGTGCACTGGCTCCTGTCTCTAGCATCCTGCTCTAGTGCAGCCTTCCCTGACCAAGGCTGGCAGAGGGTCCTTTGCAGACGTTCGTCATGGGTTGTGTGGGAAGAGAGTTCTCTGAACTAGAGCATTCTCTGCTTTGGTCCAAACCCAGATATTGACGAGTGTGCCACCAGCAACGAGACGCTGTGCGCACACACGTGCATCAACACCGTGGGCAGCTACCGCTGCGAATGCCGGGAGGGTTACATCCAGGAGGACGACGGGAGGACGTGCACCCGGGGAGACAAATACCCCAATGACACTGGTGAGTGGGGCAAGCCACGTTTCCCCATGGATAGGCCCTTGGGAGCCCCACCGGGGTGGGCTTTCAGCCACTGACATTAATTTGTGGGCCAACTTGAAAATGAGCAACAAGAAAGGGAGCAGTGGGCAGGAAGGGGCATTTGCACGAAGGGCAGGTGGGACCCGGGTTAAGAGAGGGGTGGGACACAAGGTGGAGCCCCGGTGGAGTGAAGCTGGCAGTGAGGGTTGTGAGCTGGTGTGTATTTGAGGAAACTCTCCACCATATGGATGTGTGTGCTCAGGTGGAAATCAGTAGAACTTAGCTAGGTGCTGGGACCACACTCAGATGAGCAGAGAGGAGGCCAGGACGCCATGTTCTCTCAGAGAATGGGTTGACTATCAATAGGAAACACGTCCGTGTCAGGTCCACGCATACATCAACGCTGCTTAATGTACAGCCCACACTCTGTGCCTGCCCAGAACCATTTGTTACTTGGTTTCTGATTGCATAAAAACAGAAGTTGAGTGTTCAGGCGTGTTTATACCCATTTGTAGACACCGATCCAAAGATCAATGCTTGTATTTTGTCGTCTTTTACTAGTCATTGGTTTTTATTGTGTTTTGCAAATAGTCAAGTGCAACAAGGTTAAAAGCTGGCCTTCGGAGTTTGAGAAGCTGATCCACATTCCATCAACCCGATCCAACTGACATGTCTCTCACCCAGGGAAATGATCAGCTTGAAGGCTGGGTCACTCCTTTAAGTCTGGAAGAAGGAGCCTCTGTGCTCCTGTATCCGACACTCACAGGGCGGGAAGCTGCTCCCATCTTCCTGTGCTCAGGGCATAGCTCTAACCTGTCCCTCTTAGGAGGGGACAGGATACTGTCTGTCCGGAGAGGCTGGCTGGGCCTTGGACTCTCTGAGTGGGGCAGGGATTTCTGGGCAAATCATCTGTACTGAGAAGCCAGGGAGCTGGGAAGGCTGAACGGTGTAGACACTCGGGAGAAGGTGACTCTTGGGTGTAGCCCGAAATTTCGAAAAAAAAAAAGTGGAGGACAGTTGCCATCAGCTGAGGACAGCAAACAGCTGGGGGACAGCTGCTCACATGGAAAAACTACAAAGCAAAATTCTAAGAAGGGGCGGGTTGAGTCATGAGGAAGCCACTGTGTATTAGAAGTAGAAGCAGAATGTGTCTGGAGCCAGCTCAGGATTGGGCAATCTGGAATAATATAAATGCATCAGCGGGCCTGGGGACACTTCTTCAAGTCTAAAGCATGTGGAGCCTGCCTGCCCAGAGGCGCTTCGAACAGGGACGAACAGTCTTTTGGGTAGAAGGGTTGACTGAGGAAAAATGTTTGCAGGCCTTTTTTTTTTTTTTTAATTCAAAATTAAAGTCACTTCATTTTTGTCCCATGAAGGAGAAGGTGGGAGAGGGGCAGGGTGTGGAGCTTACCTATTTGATTATCTCCTTTAATGAGAGGAGATAATTCTTTGAAAAATAAAGTGCAGCCTTTTCGCCACTGACTTAATTCGTGGGCCAACTTGAACATGAGCCACAAGAAAACAGCTTTCTAGCTTTCATTCTGGGATTGGATTTGCAGCTCTGCTCCGAGCCAGGAAGCCCAGGGACTGTGCAGCCGACTCCACTGTCTCTCTGCCTTACGTTTCTGTCCAGGTGAACCCTGTTTACTTGGGCACGAAGGGCAGCGTTGAACAACCCAATCTAGACGTTAACCCTCAGAAACTGCAACCACAGATGCTTACTGCTGGAGTGTTGGAGTGGGATTAGATAGGACGGATCCCCAAATAACAGGACCTAGCCTCAGCCATGAGCAGTTCCCACCTGGCGCTGGTCTGCCCGGGCACCAGGCCTTTACCTCATAGAGAACCAGAGAAGCCGGTTGGAACTTTCCAAGACAGCATGAGAGTTTCCTATTGAAATGTTCTTTGGTCTGGGGTGGCCTCCCTGTGTGACACTGTAGGGAGGGCTCTTGCCCAAGCACAGTGATAAGGTGGGCCCGGTCAGAGGCACTCACCTTCTCCCTCCTGCTTTGGCCGTGTAGACCCGGGCGGGGGGCCCAGCAACGAGCCGGGCGGAGAAGTTCTCCTTGTGTCTCTGAAGTTAGCCGTCTGTTGTGTTAGGTCAGTCCTCAGAAAGCAGTCCTCTGCTTCCTTCCCAGAGAAATGACTTGTACTACTTAAAAGTTTTTAGTGTGTTACACTAAACTACACAAGAAGTTTCAGCATGAGAGAGCAAGTTCAAGAAATCAAGAATTTTACTTTAGTGATGAGCAGTGACTTCTCTGGCTGAGAATTCTAGGAAAAACTGAAGTGGTTGTAATGAGAAGGGGTGTAGACCTGCAACTTTCTTTTGTACCTTCTCTCATAGTCTTTTCACGTAAAGATGACCTATTTTCTCCCAACTGTTTATTACAGCCTTTCCCCATTGGGTTCTACAGAGCTTGGAGTCTTGTGAGCTGCAAATAAGCCTGCCTTCCTTCCTTCCTTTCTTTCTTTTTTTTTTTTTTTAAGATTTTTTTTTTTTGACAGAGAGAGAGAGAGAGAGAGAGGGAGAGAAAGCTCAAGTAGACAGAGTGGCAGGCAGAGGGAGAAGCAGCTTCCCCGCAGAGCAGGGAGCCCAATGTGGGACTCGATCCCAGTACTCTGGACAACGACCTGAGCTGAAGGCAGATGTTTAACGACTGAGTCACCCAGGTGCCCAAGCCTTCCTTTCTTTAGAAACATCTGCATTCAGATGTTTGGGGAAGAACACGTTACTACCCCCACTTAGGGATTCATGGGCCAAGTGCATGAATGGTTCAGAGAGACTGCCTTTTTCAAAGATGTTAATTTTGATTAAGCCTGAAATTCCCCCAAATTATTTTCTTAAGAAAGGCCTATAAACATCTCACAGACAAGAGTGCCCTGAAAAATACAATTTGGAAAATTCTAATGTATTAACCTCAAAGGCCTGAACTCTGGGGTTGAACATGGTAGGTCGTCTGGTTGGCTTTCGGGCAAAGATGTCTTCATCGACCAATGAAGCAGCCGAAAGTCCAGAGGGAAGCCATTTGCTGTGGATTGCAGAGCCTCTGATGAACAAAAACAGGGCCAGAGTCCTCCATCCTGCCACACGGAGAGACCGTTTGTTCCTGTTTACAGTGGCTTCAGTGGGAGACGTCTGTCTAATTAGCAAGAACCGCCTGGTGCTTCTACCACCGAGCTTTATTGTTGCACAAAACTCATTTACAGATGAGCCTAAGCTGCAAATTCCCTTTCTCCTCTCTCTCTCCATCCTCCTCTTCATAGAACAGCTACAAACAGTTTAAAAAACAAAACAAAGCCAAAGCTGAAACAGCACTGTCTGTTGGCTCACACTCCACCACCACCCCCCTCCATGTCCCTGGGCCACTGACAGCAGCATTAGAAAAAGAATTTCTCCATATTTTTCAGTTACCGGTGTCTATGGAGTTCACCACACACGCACATGGGATGAGCATTTGGTTTTAGTGTTTTGCTAAGAAAAACATTCCAACACCAGTAACCAAGGACATCAGGAGGGAAGGGACAGAGAGGAGGAATCCAGACCCGTCGTTAAAATTATGAGCAAGGACAGGCATGTCGTAGGCCGTGAGTATGAGAGTCCTAACTCGAGCGATGAGCCCCCCAGAAGGTAGGGGGGGTAGCTTTGCGGGTGCTGGCAACAAAAGCAAGCACCCTGGACGCGTTGCTTTGACAGCGATGCCCTGGAACATTCCATGGCCTGGGGGCTAGGAGAGCTGGCCGTAGAAGCAGCTGCGGTACTGACCATGGAGCGTGGCTGGGCAGGTTCCGGGCCCCCGCTGCCTGCTCTGTAGACGGAGCAGGAGTGTCAGACTGTGTGAGCTCTGCAGACCCTCTAGCCCTCCCATGTTCCTTCCAGAATGTGGTGGCGTGTAGCCTGAGTCACCTAAGCCTGACCAGCCCCAGCACCACCCTCATGTCTTTGTCCTCCATCTAAGTGAGCCCCAAGGGTCCAAGAACTAGTTGATGCCCAGCTTCAACAGCTAAGCCGAGAACGTTCCTTACTGTATCTAGAAGATGAATCAGGACCAGGCAGATTCTCAGCTCAGCAACCGGAGAAGTCAGGGGCCAGGCAAGGCAGCTAAGCAGCTTCGTCTGTTTTGGACAGATTAATAAACCTAATATTTCATCGTGGTTATTTTTTTGATGAAGAGATAATGATGATTGAACGTGAACACATGGGACCTAAAATCTCCCTTCCCCCCCTTTTTTTTAACTTTGCATTGTCTAATGTCTGTGACGTTATAGTCAGAGGAATTTAAAATCAAACACAGCCTCGGCTCGCTGTTAGAGAGCGGTGGGGGGTGAAAGGTTGTGGCGCACACGCCGGCCTGGCGGCTCGAGCCCCCAGCCACCCGGCCAGCACGGCGTGCTCGGTCGCTTGCTTTGAAAATATGTAGCTGGAGCCCGTGTAGACACCCCAGGGAGTCTGTGCAGCACTGATGGGGAGACAAATTAGGGACACATTGGCTCCATAGTAATGAGCTTACTGCCCTGTTTTTCAACTTCTGTTTACTTTCTGATAGAGCGACCACGACCCTCGGGCAGTTCAAAGCTTCTAGGAGGGCCAGGTGTTTCATGTAATTTTCAAGCTCTGCTAATCCGTAGATCAGTGGTTCTCCACCCAGGAAGCTTTAAAAATTGCCAATACTGTTCCCTGGCTGCAGCCTCCAGGTGGGTGGGGTGCGACATAATGCTTTTTTTTTTTTTAACCTCCGCCCCCTCCCCCCCTTCATATGGGGGGGGGTTATAATGGGCCAACGGCATTGAGAACTGCTGGCCAGGGCACAGTCCTCCACGGTCAAGTTTTAAAAACAAACAAACGCTGTTCATTGGTGACATTGCTCATGTGCAAGGTATTGGGAATATCCTTTAGTTTCTGGATTTATTGAAATATTATTAATATGGTATCTGAGGAATTCTTTTTCTAATGCTGTGGGATGCCTAGCCTGCTCGGCATTAGTAAAAATTAGAGCTCCATGCCCCCATGTGGCTAATGAATGATAATGCACCTTTAAAATCTGACCTGGTGGGAGCAGAGTGTTGAGTAAATCCTTCACTTAAGGTGAGCGTGGTCACAGTTCGAGATGCTCGGTGATCGCAGCATGAATTGCCAGGACTGAAAACATGCAGGATCAGAGATGTCTTCCCAGATTTCTAAATGAATTATTAACGTAGCATACACGAGATTCTTTTAGCTCCACGTTTGATATTACTGTAGACAAATTGCAGGATAAATGAGCCCCAATTCAGAACAGATAGCATGTTCCAGGCCTACACACACAATTTATCTTGGAGCTGTCTGAGAGCTCTTTCCAGAGGATGATGTAAAGAGCCCTATCCCACATCTGTTATTTTGTAGGAAATTCAATACCCCCAACAATAACACTTACGGAGCACTTGTCATGTACTGGGCACTGTCCTAGGAACGTACAGGTCTGTCTTCCTTGCTACTATGGCAGTTACCCAGGTGATAAGTGCCTTTGTCATTTTACTGTTGGAGGAACATACCCAGAAGCTGTGACTTCCAACCTAAAGGATACTAAGTGACAACATCAGGATTTAAGCACCGATCATCTGACTCCCCCAGAGCCTCTGCTCCCTGCTACCCTGTTACTCTGTGTCTACAGAACCGACACAGTTCATCTTGATGTCTGTGTTCCAAAGATTACACAAAGTGATGGAGAGCAGACCAGGCATTCTCAGGTCATAGTTCCTCCGCAAAGCTTACTCCCTGGGGGGGTGCTGGCTGAGCACACGTGTGCTTCAGGATCCCATGGAGGGCTTTGACAGATCTGTGCACTCGGCCCCAGACCCAGGATTTCAGATTTTTGGCAACAGGTGCCTGGGCAGTGACGGTGCTGCTCCTGGTCACTCTTGAGAACCACTACCCCGGAGTCTGCCTCCCAGAGAGCACTCGGGGACCCTGAACAGAACACCCCGTAGCCAGCTCGCTGCCCCCCCCCATAATGCTAGATTCAGGACCTGTAAGCCCCCAGCCTGTGCACACAGCCCTCTGGAGGGCCTAGAGCAAGTTATTTTCCTTATTTATAAAGGAGATTGAACCCAAAATACATTCATGCTAATATTCCATGATCTAAACAAAGTAGAGTCTAGAACCTGTAGGGAGGGTTATTCTAATCATGAATATCTCAGGTTGCATTCATCACACCCACACTTGGAAATTCAGCTGAGTATATAATATAGTATATTTCTGAGTATATAGAAATAGGAAGATGGGCTTCTAACTTGTGTTCATGATGGCCTGGCTCTGCCAACAGGGCTAGTTCCTTACAGAGGTCAGTCACAAATTGTTAAGCAGGTGTTCTCATCTGTTTTTGCATTCTCAGTGCCTCATGTGGCCTGGCAAATAGCAGACGCTCCATGGGGGGGAGGGTGGACGAGTGGATGGACTCACAGACAAGTGGATGAGCAAGAGAGGTGGGTTACGGGACGGGATTGTATAAATTGACCAGTAGATGGGACGGAATGCAGGAACGCTAGGTTGACAGAGATGGACGTCCTCCAGCCGTCCTTCAGTGTTGACAAACCTAGTCAGCCTGGAGCCGGGGTCCCCTATTTATGCGGGGTCCACTGTTCCCTGCCATCAGCACAACCAGAGTTGGTGGGGCTGCCGGTCTTCCCCACCTAGTGAGCTCTGCGTGAAAACGTCCTCGTGTCGCTGAGTTATGTTGGCAACAGATCCTCACAGGAGCCCAGGCTCTGTGGGCAAGTAGGACTGTTTGGCACACTACACAGGGACAAAGGGCCCAGAGGAGATTGCCTAATGTGTAGAAGCGGTATTGGACTCAGATTCAGGAAACCACAACTCTAAACCCACATCAGTCAACTTGCGAGATGACTTTCAGGTACCAAATGTCTGTTTCCCCTCATTCTGTTCGTGTTAATACTCTCCTTCAAGACTTCTGGGGTTCCCAGGCAAAAGCAAAGTGAAGGGCTGGGTGGGTCTGAAGCCTGGACCAGGCACGGGCTCCCATTTATTACCGGCAGGTGGCATTGGCCACTGTCCCACAGGCAGGACCTTCATTTAACCCTCACAGTTGCCCTCCACTATAGGAATTATTCTTCCATGTTATGGTTGAGGAATTTGGGGCTTGTTGAGGTCAGATAACTTGCCCGAGACTCCTGAGCTAGTCATGCTAGAGCTGGTCTGCGCAGCGGGGACAACAGCCCCTGGGAAACCACGCTCTTAACCAACCCATTTGACCTCCTCCAAGCAGAGACCTTCCCCAGCCTCTTAGCTCAGTGTTACACAGCTGCGGGGGGAGTCAGCGTGACTCCCCGAGTGTACCAGCTGACCGCGTTGTCGGTGGGGAGCCCCCAACCAGACAGCCAGCCCAGGAAGTGGGGATGAGCGGGGCGGTCATGTCACCCGGCGTCCGTAGGTGGATTTAGAGACGGCCACGCCCCCATAGATCCACGAGCTCTTTCCAGCCACTCGAAACCTGCCCTGTAGGTTGACTGGTTGACCCAGTTGCTTACGGTAACTTAAAGATGGAGCCTGCTTTCCCCGCTCAAACCTGCTGGCTTGAGAAGTGTGTTCCCAGCATGGGTACTCCAAGCCTCGGGCTTCCCGTGACGTGCAGGGATGAGGTGTGGCGGGTGAGCCCTGCGCCCATGCTGCAGGTAAATAGGCAGAGATTTCAGTCACCAGGTTGCCCGCAGACCCCCTCCCCTCCCAAAGAACAGAAACACTGGTCACCACATAGGTCACCAGGCAGGGGACCAGCACCATGGGAGAAACCAGCCGGGCCACGTGAGGAAGGTTCATGAGAGCATGAATGCCCAGCTCATCTATCCATTCGCTAGCTCTGCCTCAGACCATCACCAGCTGGGTGGCTTCAAGGACAGAAATGCATCCTGTCCGTTCTGGAGGCTACAAGTGTGAGACCAAGACATCGGCAGGGTTGGTGCCTTCTGAGGGCCGTGCAGGACAATCTGTCCTGTGCCCCCCCCTGTTTCTGGGGTCTTCGCCAGCGATCTCTGGCCTTCCTTGGCTCCTGCCCTATTGCCTGATCTCTGCCCTCATCTTCATGTGGTGGCCTCCCTGGGTGCGCATCTCGGTCCTGATGTCTCCTTTTTCTACGAACACCAGTCCCGTTGACTGTGGTCCCACCCTGCAACAGTAGGACTTCGTCTTATCACACCACTCACGACCCTATTTCTGAATAAGGTCACGTTCTGAGGTCCTAGGGGTTAGGGCCTCAACATACGAATTTTGGCAAACAGTTCAACCTGTGACGCTCTGCCTCACACGTAGCACGTGCCCTCCTTGTGAGCTCCCCGCAGGTCCAGGTCTGGCTTGTGCTCTGGGGCGGGCAGCCACTCTGCAGGTTGGCGTAGAGACCCCCGCCATCTGAGCGGACACGTGGTGAGTGTGGCCTGAGGTCAGGACCACAGTATCTCTGTAGAGAGAGGACAGGCTTTGTGGAACGTCGGACTTGGTTCTCGATCGTTGATAGGTTTCTGTGAATGGGGACCGCAGAGAGGGCTTCCCAGAAGGGGAATAAGAAAAGCACAAGTCAAGGAGGACAAGAAGTGGCTTAGAGGGACGTTGCTCGGCTGTCCCCAGCTGTATTCCAGACAGCATGGTGAACGCTGGCCTTCAGATGGAGGAGAATAAATCATGTCAGGTTGGGAGATCACACTTCTTGAAAAGCACTGACGAAAGGGCAGTAGTTCCCATATTCACTCCTGCAAGAGGACAATACCGGGGTGCCTGATTGGGAACAGCTGAAGCCAGAGCAGGGGGAGCCCGGGGTGGAGGGTGGAGGCTGCTTCCATCTCTCCCCTGACCCAGGTGTGCAGCCACTGACCTGAGAAGTGGCAAATCACAAGCCTCCCTCCCTCCCTCCCTTGGCCCACTGTCCACGGGTCCTCCGTGGGGACTGCCGTTTGAGAGGCTGTCTGTAGCCTCCCGAGCCCACCCGAGCCCGTCCCCTCCTGCAGGGCACAACGAGAAGTCCGAGAACGCAGTGGAGGCTGGAAGCTGCTGTGCCACGTGCAAGGAGTTTCACCAGATGAAGCAGACGGTGCTGCAGCTGAAGCAGAAGGTACGTGCCCGTCGTGTTCGAGCCGGGCCCCGCAGGAAGAGGACTCGGCAGAGAGGAAAGGGAAGAACAGTGAGAAACAGTAAGACAACGAGTTGTCGCCCACGATCTCCGTGAACATTCACGAAGGTCGCTGCCAGCTGGGTTGGGACTGAGACTTTTCTCCGACCGCCCACCCTCAGAGCTGCCGTGCAAAGGGCAACATGCCCATGAAGGCAAGAAAGCGATCAATTAGGTAACTGCGAAGCGGGGCTCGAGCTGGGGGGCACGTGGCAGAGGTGTAAGGAGGTTGAGCTAGGACTGTTTGAAACCCTGGGTAAAAGAAACGTCCAGACACATGGTCCTGGGGCAGACCTACGCAGTTCTGTTTCATCTAACATTCTGGTTAGGTTTTACAACGAGAACACCCTGTCTATAAACATCCGTAAGTGGACGGTGAATTTCCGTAGCGGCTCTTTTTCACATTGGAAAGCCGCCATTTGGGTGCCTCGTGTCAACAAGAATGAGGGCTGAGTCACTTTCTAAAAGGCTCCCACGCATGCCACAGAGACTATCAGATTTCTAGTAACATTGTTATGCCATGAGTAATGCCCCCGTGATGAATCTGGGGACCTGATTTCTTGAGCAACTGTCCTGGCCCCAGCTCGATGGTATTTATGACCCCTCAGTCCTCCAAAATCACGCTTGTGCTGAGAATCATAGGGGTTTGTTTGTTTAATTGCTGCTGCCTGAGGCTCTTAGCACATCGAGGAGGTGTATGTAATCTGTTTAACTTTGTTATGCCAAAGGGCAAAGGGTAAGCATAAGACAATATGGCTTTTCCATGTTCCACAAACATACACGCAGCCCTTAGTGAGAACCACAGCTACCAGTGAAATAAGCCGATCAATAGGCAGAGAAGGGCAATGGCTTTGCTCGTCTTTCGTTACGTTGTTGGCGAAGATCTGTCCATGTATCCTGTACACGATCCGAAGTAGTCTGTGACCCAATAATAGAACGGGCGGAACACTCTGTAAGTGCAGCACATAAACACATCCCACACATCCCCTCAGTTAAACTTGGATTGATGTCACCATTGATTGAGCAAATTCAAAAACGGGTCTAGGGAAGAAGTAAGTTCACATTTCATACCAGAGGATTAGGGCTCGGCGGACGCAGTTGCTTAGTATCTTAAGACCTAAGGCAGCTCTCTGCGTCCTCTCCTGGACAGTTGAAAATCTAGGAGCTATAGGAAAGCTTTTTCCAGCCTGGAGGATCGTCAGAATAATGCGGTGCCACTAAATCCCACAGGTTGCTCGGAAATGCAGTTACTAATCAGTATCTGGCTTTCGTGTCCTAGTACCCACCACCTTGAAAGACTGCTGTAGAGCGCCAAACAATCCAGTAGCAAGTACTTCTTAGTACTCCAGTAACTCATGTAGTGACTCTCACGCACTTAGTACTCCAGTAACTCTCACGTACTTAGTACTCATGCAGTAACTCACACACTTAGTACTCCAGTAACTCTCATGAGGTTAACTCTCACGTAGTTAATACTCCAGAAATGAGTATGCTGTAACTCACACACACTTAGTACTCCAGTAATGCATGCACTAACTCACACACTTAGTACTCCGGTGACTCTCATGAGGTTAACTCTCACGTAGTTAATACTCCAGAAATGAGTATGTGGTAACTCTCACACACTTAGTACTCCAGTAACTC